TTGACCCCAGCCGTTGCACATGTAATTGCGGAGCACAAGTGGCGCATTACCATATTGCCAGACTACTGCAGTTGGCAGTCCTCGCGTTCGCCGCTGAGGGCCAAAATTGATGTGGCATTGTTTTTGGTCCGTACCAGAGTCATTCAGTGCCTTGAGTACATAACAGTTTTCGCTTTTTGGGATGACAACTACTCGGCAGTTTGGTTGATGTCGCCGGGACTGCTTTTAATTTTGCCAAGGGAAAGTCCTAACACCCATTGTGGTTATTGCGCCGTTCAATCGACTGCGGGTCACAGAACCATGACCCAAGCAATTCATGGTTCATGCAGATGTCAGCCTATGCGAGAATTTTGGCCTTGCAATACTTGATGATGTGACCAGGTTCCATCGCATGAATCACGATCTGAGAGTTATCGTCTTTCCTTCTCACTGCTGCTTCGTGATTGGCCAATAACATGCGGGACAGTTTCCCAGTTTATCCGACGTAGTGACTCTGTCCGCAACAGTAAATGACTTCAGCCGTTTCCTATAGTAGCTGCGACTGTTTTGGTCTCATTTTATGGCCCCTGATACTTGCTTCCGGTCAGTGTACCACTCCAACCACGAGCCGTGTGAAACGTTGGCAAAGGGTTTCCGAGAAGTTCTCCACGTACGGTAGCGCGCGCCAAAATTTGGGACTGCTGCGGTCCGGTCCCTCGCTCTGGTCGCGTATGCAACCTTCAACAAAGTTGCTTTGGTAGCCGATTGCCCGAAGCAACCGTTGAAGACACAGCAATTTGGCAACCTGGTTCGCTGCAGTGGGTCACAACCCATCGATGTAGGGTTCGCATGCAGCTACGTGAAATGACATCTACTCACTAGTTCTTGGCGTGACGATTACTCGGCACTTTAACTTGCTGTCACCCGTATCCTTCCCACGTGGCCGACCTCGCCAAAATTAAAGGTGTGAACATGTTCGGCCGAATGATCCACGAGCTGACAACTAATGTCCTTTCTCCTCACTGCTGCTGCATGCTCGGCCAATTAGATGCGGAGTAATCTCTCAGTTTCTCCGATGTAGTTCCCTTGTCCCCTACTGCACCAGATCCGATAAACGACTTCAGACACTTCCAGCTGTGACAGCGGGTTATTCGGCCTCATTTTCGGCTCCTAGAAGTTGGTTCTGGTCAATGTACTACTCAAATTTCGAGCGGTATAAAACGTTGGCCAACGGCTTTCGAGACTTGCTTCACGTACGATAGCGCTCGCCAAGATGTCCGGTTTTTGCGATTCTAACTCTCGCCTTGGTTGCGAAAGCAACTATCAACAACTTCGCTTGGTTAGCCGTTTGTTCTGAGCAACCATCGAGGCTACTGCTATTCGGCAACCTTATCTTCTGTTTCGCAGCAGTGGGTTGCAAGCTCTCTGATGTGGCGATCGTACGCAATGGCCTTTGTAGCTGAATTGGTGGTTGTTATTGAAGGTCAATACTTGCACTATATTTGACGCTTTCTCGAATACTTAAGTTTTAAGGCCACCACAGTATCTGCGGCAGGTTAGAACATGGAGGAAGGCTAGCTGGTCGGTGTTCTTCCTTCTCGAACGTAAATTGCATATTCGGTGAGATGCCGTTGGGGTGTTTTTTTAATGCCAACATCTGACTGCGTTCGATGATAACGAAGGTGTCGTCCACATACGGGCCCAACATTTCAGTCCACAGTGTCGGAGGACGAGCAACCCTAGAACCTGATTACCTATGTATAAGTCTTGAGATCGCCGAAGCCCCTGGCATGCATTTCACCTGCTTGTAAGTTCTTCAGATACCATCGTCAGCTCGTCAGAACAATTCTTGGAGCAACTTAAAGGGGTAAGTCTCCTGTTAAACAGCGTTATGGTAATGGATAAACTTAAAGTAAAGCCTTCGGAACAAACCTTTTTTAGGCTTCGTACGAAATTGGATATGCATGTTTGAGTTTACATCGACCAGCTCCTGTAATATTCAGAAGCTACAAACAGACCGTCTGTAGTATACAAATAAGTAATGAGATGAAAAGTTGGTGTTAGAATTACACGGAGGCCAAATGCTAGCGAGTTCAACAGGGTCCGTAAAATTTAGATGCGTAGATTATTACTTCTTCTTAATACTACTAACTGTCTTTTGGCGACTTGTGAGAATTTCGTGGCTTTCTGCAATAGTTAAAGTAGTCATACCAACTTTCAGCTGGAACCTAACCAGGCTTCCTTCGAAGGATGTACCCTCATGTTCGAGCATTAATTTGTTCGGAAATTATATAAGACAAGGTAGAGCTTGGAAATCATATACAAAAAGACAAAGGAATCCGCTGAGGAGCCATAACCTCCGCTGATATCTCATACAATGGCAGGAAGTCGGCGAAACCCACCTGGCTGGGCTTTTGTCTAGTACCTACGCTGCCAATGAGGCAAACATTTATGAAAGTACGATACTCTATTAGAAGTAATGCTTGCATTTGCAGTTGTTCTAAGTCCGCACCCCAGTCAATTGCCGCCAGACAACTTGCTGTTAAGTCCTTCAGTCAGTATTCACGTCAAATGGATGCATTACCTCCAACATACCGCCGCTACAATCCCAATCAGGAAGACGTAGAAGACAGGTGAAAATCACTGATGCTGCTGTCCAAGTAACTGCCCAATAAGCGCAACCTGGTCAAGGTCAAGTATTTACTCGAGGCGGTGTCTGCTATCCTGTTGCTGATAGCCACCGACATCGCTCATTGGCTGGCGGTGAGGGCGTGCAAACACTGGCTGGCCGGAAAGTGGACCACACTACTTAAAGGCCCCACTAGACACAGTAAGAGTAAAAAACACAGGCTTAAAAGGATGCCTGACAGCCTGGAGTCGAAAACCTTTTGGAAGTGCATTGACCGCACAAACTGGCCAGATTTTATTGATATTGGCGACTTCATCCTCGATACCACAGGCATCCTGTTCACCACCCTGGCACTGATCCTACTCTCAAAAGAGCACGCCGGTCCCAAGATCAGTCTCATCCTACTACGCGGCATGCTTGCCTCCCTGCTGCTCTCAGT